ATAAGCCACCTAGTATAGATCATCTGTATTATGGAATTCGACACAATTAACGATCTCTATCAATAGCAAAATAAAAGAGTCTGTTTCATTGAACAGGAAGAATTTGGGGAATAAAGCGCACGAACGGGTTTTCATTTAGGGATGTCAAGACAGAAAGGACTTAATGGATAATACCCACGACTACTTAAACGATCGCGTTCGTCATGTGAACACGATTTTATATTAGTGTACTACTGTAGCAACAATTGACTAACATACCCTCGGGCGTCGTGATGAACTTAGCGACGCGGAAGTATGTGGCTGGCACCAAGTATAGACACAGTCCACTCAGCAAGAAAATGGTGGTGTTGTCACCACTATCATCGTAAGAATACTCGCTCATACTGTGATATTCTTATATGGCAGTAGAGTGGTTCTATATACGTGACTCTCTGGTATTATTATATATTGTATCAAGTTGGTGTGGTTCTACACTACTATGTGTGTACAAGAAAGATTATGTATTTATTTGTACTATTTCAGTTTCTATCTAACTTTTGTGGTTGTATTTTCACAGCACCGAGCCAGAGGTCTGCTTTGTTGTTTATATAATTTTTATTTGAATAAATTGTGTATTTTTTTTGCTGTGGTTTTGTTCGCCCAGAGGGGGTGATTTTAATAAACTACACGAACATCAAGTATTTTGACTTTGTCGCAAACCATAATACGTCTGTTACCATCTCAAGTTCAAATCTGAATACACTTTTCATTACCACAAGAAATATAGGCGTTAGACATACGACGTTTTATTTTTTTAATACATCTGGATTGAGTTTCGGTTTTTAATACCTTGGGCTACAACGTGGTGGTCCACACTCCACAGAGGCACAGAGAGACCCAGACGGTCAGACTCCAGACTCGTCAGAGCCAGAGCCCCCACGACCACACTCACACACACTGACACAAGTCAGTAGTCACAGCCCACAGGCCTGAGGCCTCACCAGTCAGTCAGTCACCAGCAGCTCACCAGAGTGACTCTACTGCATAGCTCTCAGAGAGAGGGAGAGACTCCCCACTCACCACTCACCAGCAGTCATTTCTCACCAAAGCTGGCACAGAGTAACAGTCTCACAGACTGTCTATTTTTTAATACTGATCAAATCCAGATCTCTGATTTTGTGATGGAATCTCAGTGCGTCATACTCATCTCGATCTGATACGCCGGCTACTCAGCGTCCATGATGTTTTTTTTGGTGCTGTCTCTTTTTTATTAAATAAAACTTGTATCTACGTGTGTATTTACAGTACATATGTCACGTCTATCTATGTACAGTGTAAATCAAAACAAAATATTGTAAAAACGCAATGCTCTACTTTGATACAGGAACCCCGAGATCTTATTTTGATATTGATAATCAAGTTGTTATATCATGACTTGGTCTTTCTCAGACACGGTGACATTTCAAGAAACCTACGTTGCCTACTATTAAGTTTTTAATAATCGTACATGAAGATGCACAGATATACATGAGATCAAAATGAAACACAGATATACATGAGATCAAAATGAAACACATCGAGATAATATACATGATTTAGAAAGGCTCGTTCATACGCATGGGAGGGGTTTGGGAACGAACTTGAAAAAAAGTGAAATGCATATGTTGTGGCAAGTTTCAGCCTTTTCTTTATTTATAGAAGTATCTATATGTGTCGACTTTCGAAATAGTCTGACAACAAACTAGATCTAGTATGTCTGTTTGATTCATTTGCGCAAGTCTTTTAAGTATATTCAAATTAATCAAGTGTTCTACATTTCGTTGATATTCGGCTCCGGCCCAAACATTCTTGATTTAAAAAGTAACAGATACAAACTTACAGTTCACATTGAATGTGTGCACGTGTGTTCCTACATTCCGCGGGGTTATGTCGTAGTCTTCTGAAAATTGAACAGTTATGTCACTGGTACAATGGTTATGTTACTGGTACAGCAAATAAATAAAACCGAAAAGCACGTTCAAAGTCACGTCTCTCGGAACCCCAGAGGACCTTTGGCTGCCGAAATCAATATCCTTGATAGTTCTATAGAAAAGTAATGTATTTTCGCGTAGCAATAATGCGTGCAGGAAAGAAAAAGAAAAAAAGCAGCAACGCTTCCCTCTATGTACGAACTAGCGCTGGAAAGTACAATTTCGCTATGAATTATTAGTTGCAGCCGCAGAATTTCGATTCAATATTTTATATATGTACTCATCATGCCTGTAAATTTGTTTGCTCTATCGAGTAGTTTCGTATTAATTTATCCATACCGCTGGCCCGCGTGGTCCCACATTCTACGAGATGTATAATCCTAATATCTAACGGTCCAGTATAATATAATGGCATCTATAACGGGATGGGAGTGCTATTATCGTTTACAGACAGCGGGTGATTGGCTGTCAACTGAGTGTTTGAGTCCGATCCCAAACTGCTGCCCTGCGATGTAGATTGCTTCATCTGTGAATTCATATCCAGTGGTGCGAATCCGAAGACAGTAGGCGTGTGTACGGGTGTAGGCGGCACTCCCTGAGTATTGCTTCCCGAAAGCACTCTGTTCAGCATACCAGTAGCCCCGCCATTTGTATTCATATCACTCATACTGTCACCCCCACCCAGCCCTAGCTGTGGCGGCTGCTGTTGCTGTTGTTGTTGTTGCTGCTGCTGCTGGTGTTGCTGTTGGGGCTGTTGCATACCCAGCAAATTGAGTGCACCACTGGAGCTGTGGTGCGACAACATTCCACTACCATCGCTACCGGTTGGTTGCATGAGCTGTGCGCTTCCTCCAGCACAATGGCTGTCTACTCCTGGGACCTGGCCCTGATGCTGCATCATCAAACCCGCGTGATGTTGGTACAACCCGGGCTGTTGAAACAAACTATGTTCGCCGCCTACGTCACACATGAGTCGCAAATCCAGCAGATGATGGTGATGGTTGCCGTGTATGACAGTAGAGGGTAGGGGGCCGTTTCCTATTGGCATTTGCCCCCATATGTTGTTGATATGGTGATGTAGTCCCCCGCCGTATTGTATAGCCCCCATGTCGTGAAGGTTGTCAATGTCGCCCAGGTTGCCCGTTGTATCGAGCATATCCATCGATATTGAGGCGCCCAGAGTGTTATTACTGAATACTGACATATTCGACTGTGCACGTGTGTGCATGGGTGAGAGGTTCGCCTGTTGCTGCATATAGGGTACTCGTGGTCCACACATCATGTTGTACTCCTGTCGACCGTGTATGTATGTGAGTGGTCGTGCCTGTGCCTGTGCCTGTGCCTGCGCTTGTGCTTGTGTTGGAGCTTGCGGTGGTTGTTGTGGCAAAATCGAAACTCCCGCCCCCGTACCTTTCAGGCCAGGTGCATTTGCGACGTTCAGATTGGTGGCTGGCATATTTGCCGCGTTTTTCTTGGCGGAGGCTGCAGCTGCTGAGCGCTGCAGTATCTCGGGTGTCACCGGAATACCCGAGACCGCAAGCGGATCATTGGCACTAAGTGTCTTTATGTAGGCACGCAGCGCATTGTTTTCGTTTTGCACAGACTTCATCTGCGGCAATTAAATGGACAGAGAGGGAAACATCGTCTTAAGAACGTTGGTTTTAAACGAAAGCGTAGACACCGAATACAACATATGATCAGCGATGATAGCTGCTGAATACGATCACATAAAGAGATCAACAGTCGATACCCGATACACACTGCGTCACTTTGCTTATCGGCATACACATGACTGAGTAAGTTTGCATAAGGGTTACCTGCTGCATCAGAATCTCTATCTGCTCTCTCATGACATTCTCCTTCTCCCGTCTTCGTTGGCGGCACCGCCTAGAAGCGACACGGTTGTGTTCTTTCCTTTGCTCCGTCGACTTGGGCTCACATCCCAGACTATTGAACAGGGGTTTTGTGTTGTCTTTCAGTTTCATCTGGATAAACAGGATCAACATTTCGGGTTATAGATGAGCACACTTGGTACCAATTCTGATTCATAACGTGTAAATCAAGGATAGAGCATAAGGTGAGAGCTAGAGTGCGGGCCCCCAGTTGACTTTCGTGAGATTGAAGGACAGCGTAGCATCTGAACGAGAATGCTAGTCATCGATCAGGAGAAAACCCAATGATACACGTGCAAACATGAATGTGCAAACACATACACAAAAAATAATTTCACTCAAAGAATGTCGATCGGGGAAATGAGAATCTCGAGCACTTTGACCTTTATTGAGAGCGTCGCTACTAGTTATAGAATGCATTTGCTTATCAATCATCAAAAGCTGCATGTATGACATTTTTTTTTGGATGAACATATATCCATGACAAAGGTAGATGTACACATTGGCGAGACGCACATACCGAAGTGATTGAGCTTCTTAGGTTACACGAGTCATCCTCAGTCTCTTTCTTATCCTCTGTGTCTACCAAAACTTGGTTGATGGGAACATGTGCTACATTAGAAAAAAAATAGAAATGACAACATTTAGACATGAATCTCAGGACTCTAATTGATAAATTCAATAAAGCTTACATTAAAATAAGGCACATTTCAATAGCATACAACGGATATATTAGACATACAATGTAATGTTAAGAGCAACATACAGTAAGAAAGTTACTTGTGGATGACACAACATTACCAAGTAACCCGCACTCATAAGCAGCACAAAGCAGCTATAACAAACAAAACGAAGAACCAGATATACAATAGAAATATAATGATATTGTTATAACTTAATGATACAAATCAATATGCAAAATCTCCATACATATACGCACATATATACACAGAAACAATATATAAACATCTAAACATATATATATATGTATGTATGTATACATATACGTATGAGCATATAAATATATATATATATATATATATATATATATATATACGTAAAAGCATATATATATATATATATATATATATATATATATATATATATATACGTGTATATATGTATATATATATATATATATATATATATATATATATATATATATATATATATATATATATATACACACATACACACATATACATATTTATATATATGTGTGTGTGTGTGTGTGTGTGTGTGTGTGTAAATATATATATAAATATATATATGTGTGTGTGTGTGTGTGTGTGTGTGTGTGAGTGTG